ATCGCTTTTAACTTTTATCTGCTTTTACCATGACGCCTCATGTAAAGCAGTGTTATTAGTGTTATGAGTTATGATCTCTGTTTTCACTGGAACTCCCGCGGAATTCGTTTGCTTTTCAAGGTTGGGATGGCGCATCAGATTCTTCTCCAGTGGTTCATTTTTGACAGGAGGATGTTCAGTTCCAAGTGTTTTTTGAGATGGTGAAACCATTACTGTAAACAGACCGAAGACCTTTGATAAAGTCTCTAACATCATTTTCCCGTCCTTTGCTTTTGACAGAATCATGTGTGCCTGGGTATCTTGGCTACGGGTTGTGGAGACACCTCAGCTTCGGTTCGGAGATGTTCTTTGTGTTGCGAAGATGTGAGTGCCACTGTTACAGTTGGGTGACGACGTGGGGTGTTTGGGCGCTAATAGGGGACAGTGTGGAGAGCGTTTTTTTTCATAGCGGCCATTCTGCCAAGTGGTTCCCCGTTTATCAATCTAACCCCTCTACCAGAATGGTCTTGCATCTCCATTGTCTCTCGCAAGTGTTCCCCGTCTCGCTGCCTGTGCCTTCACCATCTCCCGATGTTTTCCTCGGCTCCTCGGGGGTCGGACACCGAGGAAGACCTGGTTTCTGCCGGACTTCACGGTCACACTTCTGGACATTATCTTGGAATTCTCCGACGGATCACAGACGGATCGCATCAGTGACCCGAATGAATCCAGGGGGGTTTGGTTTTTAAGTTTGAGGCATCCGTTTTTGGTGGTTTTTACCGGTGGGTCCGTGAAATCCTGGACCATATTATGTGATTGAGAGGTCCCGGGAGAAGGTTAACACTCATTGACTCGTCATTTGGGTGAGTGGGTGGGGGAGCGAGCTGGGCTGGCAATCACGTGAGCCCAAGCAAGTTCCTTGTGCGCTTGTAGATATTCTTCCGAAACAGTAGACACCAAGCGCAAGGGATCCTATTCAGCCTGAGCAACGGCTTCCTCTAGTTTTCGACCCAAACGTGGCCGCAACGAAGGCCGCGTTCGGGAAGTGGCCGCACACGCTCGCAGGTACCCGGGTGCTACGACTGCTGCGACTCTTCCGTGTGGTGCGGCTGGGGAAGGTGACCCGGTTCGCCTCCTTCTTGAGAGACAAGTTTGAATCGGAGGTGGCCTACACTCAATTCAGTGCCCTGGAGAGCCTGGCTCAGTCTTACTACTGTAATTCTTTTTGAGGGAGGTAAGGGCTTGATGTGTGATGAATTGGATGAATGAGACTTGATGATTACCTGCAAAACCCATGTGGGCATTTTATGAGCCCAAAGGACACCTCCTATGATAAACATGTCAATGATGTACTTCTAGTTGTATAAATAAAAGAAAATATATATATATATAGAGACGAGATACACATTATGGTTGACTGACACTTTGTGCAGGTACAAGTCACTGCTTGCCTGAGGCTTGTTGCTCCTGGTCATCGGGATGATGCTACAAGAGCATGTGATTGCTTGCGGATGGTTTGGCATTGCATCACTGGGCACTCACCCCACAAGTTGGCTTTCGGAGCATGGACATGCCAGCTCCTCCTTCACCTTGCAGTACACTGACAGCTTGCGCTGGTCCTTCTCGCAGCTGGGTATTGGGGGGACGGAGATTGAAGCAGTGAATGAGACCGAGGGCATCTATAGCGTGGTGGTCTCCCTGATCTCGTTGATGACCTTCTCGTCCATTATCAGTTCGATGACTTCACTGGTGAGTACCCTGCAGAGTAGGAGGATGGATCAGACACAGCAGTTTGGCCTCTTGCGACGCTTCCTGAGGACCAACCACATTGAAGAAAACCTGAGCCAGCGGATCACTCGGTTTCTCCACTACACTTACCATCAGAGGACAGCCAATGTGGAAGATCCCTACATCTTGGATTATCTCTCGAAATCCCTCCAGGCCAGGCTGGATCTTTGACATGTGGGCGAGATCCCTCAACCTGCACTCCTCCATGACCCATCACTGGGTTTTCAGGTGTGCTTCCCTTCGCTTTTGCAACGAAAACGGTGACCTTTGGCAGGATGGAAGCCACCTTGCAAAACTGATCAGCGAACGACATCCACCCCTCAAGTGAAAACGCAACCTAGAACCTGCAAACATGATGCACGTTCGACTAAAAGGCTTGGGAAGTTCTTGTGGTCAGAGTGGTACGCGCCGACACTACCGCAACATGATAGACACTAAAGCAACCATTAACCCGAGATTTTGCAATTTTTGCACAACTCCTGAGACCTCCTTCAACCCTTTTCCCATCTTTCTTCCAGCCTTTGCGGGGGAAATCCTGGCAAGGCGGACTTGCAGTTGGCGCGCTACAAGGCGGTCCTCACGCAGATGGACTTCTTGTCAGACTTGTTATCAAGCCCCCTGCTCTCATTGCAGGACCTTAGGGTGGAGGCCATCGCTTCTAGGTTGGAGGCCAGCGCTCTTCGGTTGGAGGCCATCGCTATTAGTTTACAATATCATTCGAGGGCCCCTGCTCTCATTGCAGGATTGACTCACTTGAGGGTAAAGTTCGAGGAATCATTTGAAGGGAGCTCGGGATGTGAAGAGAAGACACCCGTGTTGCAGAAGTCTAGGATTCTGGGCAATGGGATGTGTGGGCACTGAGCACAATGCAAGTTTTGTAACGTTTGGTATGTATTTGGGTATCATTTACTTTCTTACTACTAGGAACAAGCAGCTACTAGGGGCTCTTGGCCTTACTACTAGGAGCAAGGACGCTACTAGGGGCTCCTGGCATCGCTACTAGGAGCATTCTTACTACTAGTAACAAGAAGCTCTTCGGCATTACCCTCACGTTCCAGGAGGGCAATGTGGTGCGGAGCATTGCGCGCGAAGCAGTCTCAGTTCATGAAGTGGTGGCCCGGCTGCTGTGGACCAACAAGGGAACACCATATGGTAGTTCACTTTGACTTTGTCGTGTGGGCCCGTGGGCCGAGGTTCTTTGATTGAATCCTGAGACATAGCATGACATAGCTACGTATGCTTTTGAAGCCTGAACTAGGAAGTGCTTGTGTGTTGTAATTGTGTTGCTTGAGAGATGCGATGCGCATTTATGTTCCAAACTCCAGACTTGCACGCTCTCGCAAACCACCGGGATGCTTCCAACCGGGTTTGGAAGGCCCGGTGCACCTCTGATCTTCCAAGATGTTTCAAGCATGTTCAAGCAATATGTACATCCGGACGATCCCTCAGATTCGCTTTGGATGGTCGGTCGCACTGGAGAGGTGAAACGCCTCCATGAAGCATTGAGGACCAAAAGCCAAATGCTCACGCACATGGGTTGGGTAGTTTAGGCTTGGGCCATGGCTCCACGCAGAGAACTCTGAGGTATGCACGAGGAAATCTATCAGTAAAACCACCTGAGATGTGTTCGTGTCAAAAGCTCTGCCACCAGTGATTGGAATATTCAATGCAAATGGAACATGTTACAATTTGCTGAGTTACGATCTGGGGCCATGGACAATACAGCCACGTCACACTGCGAACATGACTTACAGTCAAAATGCATCCTTCTTTTCCAGGTTGTTTCGAGACCAAACGTGGAAGACCGTTGCGGACGGCCAACGTCGATGTGTCTGATTCACGAAGTCAGAGATTCAATGATTGGGATCCAAGATGGTTTCCCCCCTACGCCTACGCGAAAACAAGCTGCCCGCTGCCCTGCCCTGGCAACATGACACCACGTCAGCGCTCAGCTGAGGCAGAAGATGACGTGGTCTTCTGTCATGGCAACAAAGCGATCAGTGCTTACTATATCATTCGAGGCGTGGTCCGTCGGGAGCGCCCAGCCGTCAGCGCCCCTTTTCAGCGGACCGCCCTTTTCACCGGCGGAGAACACTTGAAATGGGCAAGTGGCAGTCGGTGGGTGGTCACAGCGTGGTCAAGGCGTGCTCCGTTTTGGACGAGCCCATCTTTAAGGGCCGTTCTTTTCTTCCAGGCATCAACGAATTGGCCTCCAAGAGCTAACTTCATCGATGTCGATGTCTGTGCTTCTGCAGTCCTCCAACTGCTTGGAGCGTTCTTGGGGCGCCATACCACGCGCCGTTTCATCCCATGGCGAAACGACCCCAAAGGCGGCCGTACCAGGCTCCATGCTCTACCTGCAGATGGGCTGCACCGCGCGCAGCCCCCCAGCGGCGTGGATCGCTGAGATGAGCCTTTGGACCGAGTGGACTCACCTTGGGGACCGTCCTGGCGACCGAGGGGCGCGTCGTTGCGGGGTTCGGGACCTGCGGTTGGAGAGGAAGGATGGACTGTAAGATAGAGCGCCCTGAGCGAAAGAATAGCATTGCTATGCATTTATAGCATATTTATAGAGTAATTCAAAGGGTCTTGCTTGCTCTTCAGGTTTCTTACAAGGGAATGGTCGCAGAGTTTTTCGGTCGCAAGTCCCGGACAAGAACCGCCACCAAACTTTTTTTGTGAATTTGGTGGTTCCCATTTTGCTGAGGGGCTTTTTTTGTCCGGCACCTGCAGAAGAGGACATTCTTGTGAGTTGCCTCACGGGTATTTCTCTCCATGTTCACTGTTCAGACAGAGACAGAGACTTACGATCATTATCTGCAATGAAACACACTGACCGACCTGACCTTCCTGGACAGACTCCAGATTTCCTCGCAGGACCTGCTGTGCAACAGTTTCGGTCGAATTCTGGCGATCCATGTTCAGGACCGGTCAGCTTTCACTGTAATCGGTTTCCCAGCTTTTCGCAGTTGAACTGCATCTTCACCTTTCACTGATTAGAACAGCTCACAGGGGGGTTCAAGAGACTCTTTGGATCTGTGACGCCTTGAGGTCTCATTCTTGGTGGAGGAACGCAATGTATCCAGTGCATCCAAACATGGTGACTACCCATCGAGAGAGTTTGGCTTCCTTCTCGCATTCTGCAGATTTCTGCAGCCGGAGCCCCCCATGTTATCCAATGGTGTTGGATATTGATGAACACGCTGGTCATGTAGCTCCCAGCCGATCCGGATATGGACGGCCAGGAGTTCTGTGAGGTTGTCTGCAAAGCCAACGCAGTACAGATCAAAGCTCATCAGTATGCCCTTGGCTATGTGGAGAGGTTGCAACTCGGCTCGCGCTGGATCCGGTCGGGTTTGGATGAGGTTGGATGGATCCGGTTTCATGGGTCTAACTTTGGTGCGGCCTTGATCGCTCGTGGTGGTGGCTCGTGATTTGGCTTTTTAGGCCTTGGACCTCGGGCCAAACGGCAGTCAGATGATCGACTCTGGGAACTCTACTCGATTCGAGTGACGACTCACACGTGGTGGATTCGCATGATCACATGTCAGGAGCAGCATGGTTCACAGCACGGATCTGCCGCTGGATGACACTCCTCAGAAGCGAAGCTCCAAACTGGGTCGTGGAGACTCGGCCCAGTTGAGGCATCCGAAAGTGCGACCGGCAGAGATGGGCCAGCAGAGATGGCCGGTCAAACCGATCTTGGTCAAATGGAGATGTCGTTTCCAGTGGTTCCAAAAACCCATGGAGGGCTATTCTTTTTTGGAATTTTTGTTGAGTTTGTTTTTTAAATTGAATTTGCTTTTTGTTGCTTTTCTTGCCTTTCCTTGCTTCTCTATGGCCTCTCCTGCTTTTCTTTGCTTGTCCTTGCTTCTCATTGCTTTTCTGTGGTTGCTCCCGCTCTTTTTCTTGTTTTTTTTGCTTTCCCGTGTCTTGCTTTTCATTGCTTCTTTGTGAATGCATATTGTTTTGAAATAATGTTTTAACGTTACGTTTCCTGTTCCGTTTGCACTTGGCTTGTTCTTACTGGCTTTTCTCCTTTACTTTCCTTCTTCTTGTCGTTTGTGGCGTATTGATTCCCTACCGTAATTTTGCTTTCCATGATCTTTGTTGCTTTCACTTTGGTAAGTTGGCTTTCCATCCTTGAGTTAGTGCTGCTTTATGCTTGCTTTTCTGTCTTTGTAGGCTTTTCCCACTCTTTCTACTGGTGGTTGTGTTTTAGTTCACCTTAAGGAACAACCCAAGTGCATCATATCAATGAATAACACTCGTTCATTGTGCGCACAGCTATATAGCTTTTCCTAGAAGGTCCAATGGGTTCTGACACCCCTTGAACCATTTGGGAATCTGGTCTCCGAGGCAATCCAAGGCTAATCTCTTCATGGAGGATTTGGTCCCTGTTGGGTGGAGTGGGACCAAATCAATTCGGGGGATTGCGAGAAAAAGAGGCAATGGAGCCCCTTTGTGAGGAAAGGAATCACGAGACGCGGACAAGTCGAAAATAACGAATATGCTAAGTGGAGCAGTGAGCACAGCCTTTTTGTCCCAATCAACATGGGCAACTGCCATGAGCCAAACAAATTCAGCGAGTTAATTGGGCTTTGGGAACAGACGGACATGTACTTTGGCAATAGGACCTTGTTGAGATATAAACATTGAAGGGGGTGAACAAAAGGAGCAGTAATAAAGACGACAGATGAGCCATGAGAGTGTTTTTGCAGAACAAAAGAGCACTAGACATTTTGCCATTAGTTTTTTGGCAGGCGGTTAGCATTTCAGAAGAAGTTGGGCCAAATGAATGGCGGGGTTACTCAATCCTGGGTCAACATTGTACATAATTGGGGGCCTGGATACTCAGAGAATGTTTCGCCCGACGCAGCGCATTCTTGAGGAGTCTTGCAGGCTGCGCACACCTTCAACATGTTCGACTGCTTCTTCAGGAAACCGGCCTTAAAATCAAGTCTATGTGAGGTGTTTTTGAAGTACGTTCTCCAAAGACCGAACAGTGAATCCATTAAAACATAATATGGTAAATGTATTTGTTTACAAAATATATACACAATTGTATATGACATGAGTATATGATATGATATGATATATATAATGAATAATAGATAATATAATATATATATGTATAGTATATACTATATACGCATGTACAAGATATCGCTTCGATGTATTTGGGACCACTATTGGCCCCACATTACACTAGGGACCGCCATCTTGTCTCAACCCATAAGCATGCTCACCCCAGTGCATGTCCCTTTTAAAGAACGACTTTCTGGGTGTTAGTTTAGTCCTCAGCCTCATAAAATCTTTACAAGGGGATCACCAAGAAAAAGGCCACGGACGTTTTGCAGTTGCCGTTGGAATTCCGTTTTGGTGAAACATGGTGAAAGGAGACCAATGTCGCAACCCGCTGACCCGTCAGGAAGAAACATAGGGCCGTGGCTGCCTCTGACGAGCTGAATTGACGTTCATCTAATCGGGCAGGAATGAATGAAGGACAGTTCAGTGATTTTTCTCTGTTTTGTGTTGTGGTGCCTTTTTCCTGGAAATGCTTTTCTTGGGTTGATTAGCAGTTCTTGGGTTCTTCAAGGAAAACCTTCATACAGTTTCTTGTGACCGATCCTTCATCGATCCTTTCATATCCTGTCCCTGAGCTGTAGAGTTAACGCACGGGCCGTGCCCCAAAGTCGTGGCTCCCAATAAATGATGACAGTACACTTCAGTCAACAACGGCAACACCCGGATTTTGGTGTTGGGAATCTTTTGGCAATCTTCCGGGAATATTTTATTGGGAACCCGTATTACCCTTTTCCGCCTTGAGCTATTTTGGGTTCATTATGGCGCAGCAAAAAATGCCGTTGAACGGCATGCACAGTCAAGTCGGAAGCTCACAGTTTGTATTTTTTGGAAGGTCTTAGAATCAAGTTTGTTCCGGAGGTTTGCAGGGATATTGTCTCAGGTCTCAGGTCACTGGGGACGGGGCCGCACGCAAACTGTGGCTCCAGTTCTCTTGGGTTCAGACAAATGCAGCATGTGGGCAGTTCCAGGCTGCATGCAGACAGAAACAATGTTGACTTGATCGACTTGATCAACAACAAATTTGCACTGCAGCAGAACATGTGTAGCTTTGATTCCCACATTGGTGGAACGTCATGGACGTTTTCTACCCTTGTGGGAACTGGCATCGCCGCATGTGTTTTAACACGCAAGGACTTTTTCATTGAGTGACAAGTGGGATGCCAATGGGGACCTGAAAAAAGGGAAGATGGACCAAGAAGAAGAACTTGGTAGAGTCCATCCAACTATGGTAGAATCACCAAGTTACCTTCCTTCAATCAGCGGCAGGAACCGCTATTTTTCGTGAATCATCCCACCGAGCTCTTGCTCCTGGGGTGTTCGAAGATCACCGCCAGGCAAATCGATGGACCAATGGAAGGGACCGATCAAAAATGATAAGAACGGGGGAAGTGATGAGCACAGATGAGCACAGGTGAGTGGTGAGTGAGTGTGTTTGTTGCGGGAGCTTTCGACCCTGCGGTTGTTTGACCTGCCAGGGATCGGCGGGGCAAGCTTTGTGAGCGAAAGGGTGTGGATGAAATCCTCCAGAAGCAGAACCGAGGTGAAAGCGAAGTTCCTGGTGGACTTGGGTCGCAGAAGGATCAGAAGGCCTGCTGAGCGCTTGCTGAACGGAGTCTTACATAACCCAAGTGCGGAAAGTTGGGTTTTGGGATGCGAATGTAAATCACAGCAGTCATGACAAAGGGCCGACTGACCAAACCATGTTTCTTCTTCCCGTGGCTTGTTTGGGAGTGCATTTCACAGGCCGGCAGTGCAGAACTTTCACGCGTGCCCCGAGCGCGCCGCAGCCCCTGAGGTTGGATCGGTGTTGCTTTGGGGCTTTGTGTGCGTATGTGTATGCGCACCTAAGGGGCAGACCAGTGGCATCCTGCACGTAGTATTGGAGGGCCCAAATTCGGTCGTGCATGTCTTGGCATGTTGGCACTTGAACCACAGAGTTTGGTGACTAGATTCTTCTGGTATTTTCATGCATTTTCGTTCCTTTTTTGGTAAGTAGACCAACCCGCTTGCATGGAGACGTGCTCTCTTCGAGAGCCGCCTCCGCGATCGCTACCTTTCGTGGATCTCGGCTCAAGGGCCACCCGCTGACATGAAGACTTGGGACGGAAGATCTGGAGACAAGGGACTACTCTGACCGGCTTGCTCCAAAACTACTCCAATGCCAAGAGAGGTTCAGTGACCTTATAAGACCCTAGACCCTACTAGGGTACCTATGGGCTGGTATCCTATGATCCTGGAAAGGCCTGGAATACCTTTTAGTCTGCCCCCTTCGGCCCAGTCGGCCAGATGGAAATGAAGCACGCGCAGTCTGCTGGTGTTCTTCCCTCCAGAAAACTTCAGGCACGAAATGTGTGTGTTTGACATGGGACACCCCTTAGAGGGTTTGCAGTATCTTTTCCCAGGCATGTTTTAAACTGCTGTAAACCCACGGAGCCGGGACCCGAGTTGCTTTCCCGCGGTAAACCCCGCCGGGCTGCTTTGGTTGCCCATGTCGCGGAGCTTCTGGGAGCTCCACCGGAGGTTGGGCGAATGCTATGAGGCAGACATGAGGCGTGGGCTGAGGTGACAAGATATATTTGCAGTACATACTTAAATTAAATATATATATATAATCATATATATATAATACACTTTTTGAGATCGTGATTTTGAAACAACTGTTTGTTCTTCAATGTCCTCTTCTTGTTGTCAGTTTTTGCTATTGGAACATGATTGGTTACAGTATTGGCTGTTGTTTGTATTTTTGTTGTAAAGTTCATTTGTTTGGTCTTTGGAGTATTTTAGACCTTTCTTTCGCTCTTTGTTAGAGGACGTGAGCATGGGTCCGGTTGGACCTGTCCTTTGGAGCGATTGAGAGGGCCTGAAACCAAGCAGTGGTGTTCATATTTTTCTCAAGGGAGGAGCCTTTGGCCAGCCCGCCGTAATTAACAATATCATATACTATCCATTCCCCTGCACAAAGCACAACAGTTTGGGCTTGAGCGTAACTCATCCTTGTACGGGGAACCCTGGAATGGTCCTTGAATAGTTCTTCGCATGTCTTTACAAGCTATATGACTCCACACCAAAAAGACGTGTCAGGTTCATTCATTTGACGAGCCCCCCCCCGCCGGGCTTGATGGCAGTCCGGATCCTTCAGGACCGCCCGTGACCGCCCCAGGCGTGCACGGAGCAAGTCACGAACTCCGGCGGCGCCGAAGAGCCTCCACTACGAGTCGGCCGTGCCGCCGAAGTCTTCGCCCCAGTGGCTCCGGCGCAGACTGGGGGGCGAAGCCAGGACCAGCTTGGTGGGGGAACCGTTCTCAAGTCTGCATGAAGAAGCTACTAGTAACAAGGCCATTACTAGTAGTAGCAAGAAGCTACTAGTAACAAGGGTATGCTACTCATGAACTTGGGATGCAGAAATCGCAGTATCACTTTCCCATGCCCGCACGTTCAAAATCATGCGGGTCAAGACGCAACACACCCGAACTCTTTGGTATCAGTTTTTCTATGTTTTCCCTCTACCAACTGAACCTTGTTCCAGATGAAGACCGTGTTGCGCCCTTTCCACAGACTAAAAGACTTGGAACAAACATGAAGAGACCTCTAAAAGTTGTTGGAAAGATGAGGCATCGCTGGTTTGCGGGTGGCGGTTTCTTATTTTCTACGGCTGTTCAAACATGTTCAGCAAATATCACAACATCCTGGTCGTAGATTGATGAGGTAGACATGATTTGTTAAGGACGTCTTATGTCGTTTTTGCTGACAGCTGGGTTTAGAACAAAACAATACAAAACACATGTTGATACTACGACCGGTTGGATGTGTCGCAGTGCCGGAAACAGGTGGTAAGAATTAATTGACCACTATCACTACTCACTATTTATTTGGTATTAATCCCCAGACTTTGTTGGTAGTTGATCGTCCACCATGCAAAGATCGACGGAGGTGAAACCTACGGGAGTACCTCAGTTTTAGGCAATGGGGGAGGCAAAGCAAAACCCAGCTTGTCTCAAAACCAAGTGTGGCTCAAGCATCTGATAGCATCCGTAGCTCCAAAAGCACCGTTTTCCTTGTAGGGTGCCGTTGATCGAACTCAGGCAACTCCACACGCCACAGATGCTCTTGCGGCGCTCCTCGCCCAACGCCTCGACACCGTGTCGAACGCCTGAGTGCCAGCGCGGTCGAAGACGCGCTCGGAGACGCGCTCGAGCGAAACGCGGCGTCTGATCCTCCATGGTGAACGATATGACGGGATGGGGTGTCACGTGAAAGCATCTATCCTCATCATATCATCAGATTATCATCATATAACGAATTTATTCCTCTTCTTTTTCTTTGTTGCTAATGTAGGATCCCGATTAGTAAAGGGGATCCCGCCCTCCCCTAAACAAATGGGGGCCCTCTATAATCAACTACCACCAAAACAAATCTGGGTTCCTGGGAGGATTCCATTTTGTAATTGATTGTAGTATTCATTTTCCTCGCTTTTCAATTCATAGATTATAGTTACATATCAATTTTCCTTTCTCAGGTTCTTTGTAGATATTCTCAGCAATCCCTATATACTAAGAAGAGTACAAAGAAGGTTCTCAGGTTCTCTGCAGCTTTGAAGAACTAGAAACACCTATACTTATCAACACTCTCAGCAAGCCAGCCAGTGGCTTAGTAGTATTGTTTATCTATTTTTAACTGAGGAAAACACTTTGCACAACTGAGGACCCTTAAAGCAAATTTATTATTGAGGATCAGGGGCCTTCCTGGTCTACTACCTTGAACATTTGTTTAGGAGCAATCTTTACATTAAAAAACACTGATTAAGGAATTGGTGGCTTTGGGAAGCTGTCTGTTTTGAAGAAGCACAAGAGAAACCTGTTTTTTTCCCGCGAGCACAAATGGGCTCCCAACAGCCACGCGAAAGGAGGAAAAAAAACAATAGAGACATGGAATTACAAAGCTTCCAGAGCTGTGAAAGAAATAGGTGAAAAAGAGAAACCTATACTTACCAATACTCCCAGCAAGCCAGTCATTGGCTTAGTAGTATGTAGTAGTATTTACATGTCTCCGTCATTTTTCCCAAAAGCATCTCCGATGCTTGGGTTCTCGTTTAGTGATAGTGCGGGGGCAGAGCGAGACGAGGCAAGCATTTTCGTGGACGGAAGATGGGCATGGACGGGGCTGTGGATGGAAGATGGAGGGGCGCGATACGGGAGGGTGGACGGGCGCGAGACGGGAGGGGGGGACGGGCATGTGGATGGCAGATGCAGGGCCGCGATACGGGAGGGTGGCCGGGCGTGGACGGGGCTGTGGATGGAAGATGGCGGGGGCATGGACGGGGCTGTGGATGGAAGATGGAGGGGCGATGTTACTTGACATCACCTGTCAAGAATTCATGTATCTCATCTGTCTCAGGCGGGCGTGGACGGGACTGTAGATGGAGGAGGGAGCGATACGGGAGGGTGGACGGGCGTGGACGGGGCATGGATGGAAGATGGAGGGGCGATACAGGCGCGGGCGTGGACGGGGCTGTGGATGGAGCGATACCGGTGGGTGTATGGAATAGAGGGGCGCGGTATGGAAGGGGCGTGGACAGGCCGTGGATGGAAGATGGAGGTGCGCGATACTGCAGGGTGGACGGGTGTGGATGGCTGTGGAAGATGGAAGGGTGCGATACGGGGGGCATGGACGGGGCTGTGGGTGGAAGATGCGTGCGACACGGAAGGGTGGACGGGATGGACGGGGCGGACGGGGTGCGACACGGCAGGGTGGGGCGCGGTGTGCCGGCCTGGACGACGGTGTCGTGGACGGTGTGGAAGGTGGAGGCAAAGAGAAAAAAACCGGTTGTTCACCTTCTTTTTGTTTCTGGGTCCGCGGGCTCACCTTGTTTCTAAGTCAGGACCCACCACCAACAGTTTAACAGCAATGGCCTCCAACCTACCGGCGATGGCCACCACCACACCAGCGACGGCCCCCACCCCACTAGCGGCTAGCGATGGCCTCCATGCACCGTACGATGGCCCCCACCCTACTAGCCATGGCCTCGGCCCCTACTAGCGATCACCCTCCATACTATGGCCTCCACCCTACTAATAACGAGGCCTCCACCCTACAGCCTACCAGCGATGGCCTCCACCCTACTAGCGATCGATGGCCTCCACCCTACTAGCGATGGCCTCCGCTACTAGCGATGGCCTCCACCCTAATAGCGATGGCCTCCACAATACTAGCGATGGCTCCCTACTAGCGATGGCCTCCGCTACTAGCGATATCTCCACCCTACTAGCGATGGCCTCCGCTACTCGCGATGGCCTCCGCTACTAGCGATGGCCTCCACCCTACTAGCGATGG